TACCCCCCCCCCCCCCCCCACCATTCTTCAAACAGACGAGCTAAAAAGTACAATTTAACACATACGATAGTTCTCTTTGTTGGAGATGTAGGTGACTGCGACCAGACAAGAGTTTTCTATGGTGTACAGCCAGAAGTTGAGGCGGAGCAGGTTGAGGTATAGTCTATGATACTGGGGACTGATCAATCGTAGGCGTTCCTTGTAGTGATTGTAGTACATGATGCCAACAGCAAACCTGGGTGTGGAGTGCAGTCCGATACAAATGCGCCACACATAGGCCTGGGGCAGGATTCCTGTGATAGCACTGATCGACGGTATCACATTAGTGGCCTATAAACAAAATAAAAAGTTTTACGACATTGTTCAAAGTAGTACTAGATGCCATCGAATCATAACAGGTGGATAGACATTAGCTGCTATTTTCTTGGCCATTCTAATTAGTAATGATGTCAGAAAGCTGTTTTAACATTTAGCTTTCTAGAATAACAATTGTCATTTTCCATATGTAAGATTGTCTAGGTGCCACGTAAAGATTGTATCTTATGTGTTGTTTCAACTTTAACTACAGCACTTGTCCATACAATTCTGAAGGGAAACCAGTGGTTTTATTGATGTTATTTTCTATTTCTGGTACAAATATGTAATATTTATTGCAGACATTTTCCTGCTGGGTCCAGATGTTACTGTTGTCTGTATTTAAGGCCCAGAAGGCTGTCTACTTTGACAATTGATTAGCTCAATAATTACAGGTGAAACTCTCCACCATATGCTTTGTGCTATGGAGATTGATCCCTAGAGTGATAAATGAGAAACTTGGCATCGTGTTGCCATCATTTATTGATAGCAGGATCATAGATGTGTAGCCCCAGTTGCTCAAGTAGAAACACACATCTCCATGTCATAGAAAACTGCCAAATCCAAGTCCTTCATTGATATTCTTAGAGTTTATATATAATGTTTGTATTGTGTCCTATCAATTCTTATATATTATATACTGTTTGTATTGCGTGTCTATCAATTCTTATAAATTCTGTTTGTATTGTGTGTCTATAAATTATTTTATATACTGTTTGTATTGTATGTCTATCAATTTTTATATATTCTGTTTGTATTGTGTGTCTATAAATTCTTATATATTATATACTGTTTGTATTCTGTGTCTATCAATACTTATATATTCTGTTTGTATTCTGTGTCTATCAATTCTTATATATTATATACTGTTTGTATTGTGTGTCTATCAATACTTATATATTCTGTTTGTATTGTGTGTCTATCAATTCTTATATATACTGTTTGTATTGTGTGTCTATAAATTATTAAATATTCTNTGTGTGTCTATAAATTCTTATATATTCTGTTTGAATTGTGTGTCTATAAATTATTTTATATACTGTTTGTATTGTGTGTCTATAACTTATTATATATTCTGTTTGTATTGTATGTCTATCAATTCTTATATATACTGTTTGTATTGTGTGTCTATCAATACTTATATATTCTGTTTGTATTGTATGTCTATCAATTCTTATATATTATATACTGTTTGTATTGTGTGTCTATCAATACTTATATATTCTGTTTGTATTGTGTGTCAATAAATTCTTATATATTCTGTTTGAATTGTGTGTCTATAAATTATTTTATAAACTGTTTGTATTGTATGTCTATAAATTCTTATATATTCTGTTTGTAATGTGTGTCTATAAATTATTATGTATTCTGTTTGTATTGTGTGTCTATCAATTATTATATATTCTTTTTGTATTGTGTGTCTATCAATTATTATATATTCTGTTTGTACTGTGTGTCTATAAATTCTTATATATTCTGTTTGTATTGTGTCTATCAATTAATAATATATTCATTTTGTATTGTGTGTCTATCAATTCTTATATATTCTGTTTGTATTGTGTGTCTATCAATACAAACAGAATATATAAGAATTTATAGACACACAATACCAAACAGAATATATAAGAATTTATAGACATACAATTCATACAGTATAAATAATAATTTATAGACATACAATACAAACAGTTTATAAAATAATTTATAGACACAGAATTCAAACAGAATATATAAGAATTTATAGACATACAATACAAACAATATATATAAGAATTTATAGACATACAATACAAACAGTTTATAGAATTGATAGACATACAATACATACAATATATGTAAGAATAGATAGACATACAATACAAACAGTTTATAAAATAATTTATAGACACACAGTTCAAACAGAATATATAAGAATTTATAGACATAAAATACAAAAAATATATATAAGAATTTATAGACATAAAATACAAAAAATATATATAAGAATTTATAGACACACAATACCAAACAGAATATATAAGAATTTATAGACATACAATACAAACAATATATATAAGAATTTATAGACATACAATACATACAGTATATGTAAGAATTGATAGACATACAGTACATACAGTATATGTAAGAATTGATAGATATACAATACATACAGTATATGTATGTATTGTATATCTATCAATTTTTACATATAATGTATGTATTGTATGTCTATAAATTATTATATATTCTTTTTGTATTGTGTGTCTATAAATTATTAAATATTCTTTTTGTATTGTGTGTCTATAAATTCTTATATATATTGTTTGTATTGTATGTCTATCAATTCTTATATATTCTGTTTGTATTGTATGTCTATAAATTTTTATATATTCTGTTTGTATTGGGTGTCTATAAATTATTATATATTCTTTTTGTATTGTGTGTCTATCAATACAAACAGAATATATAATAATTTATAGACACCCAATACAAACAGAATATATAAAAATTTATAGACATACAATACATACATTATATGTAAAAATTGATAGATATACAATACATACATATACTGTATGTATTGTATGTCTATCAATTCTTATATATACTGTTTGTATATATATTCTGTTTGTATTGTGTCTATCAATTAACAATATATTCATTTTGTATTGTGTGTCTATCAATACAAACAGAATATATAAAAATTTATAGACATACAATACATACATTATATGTAAAAATTGATAGATATACAATACATACATATACTGTATGTATTGTATGTCTATAAATTATTATTTATACTGTATGAATTGTATGTCTATAAATTCTTATATATATTTTTTGTATTTTATGTCTATAAATTCTTATATATATTGTTTGTATTGTATGTCTATAAATTCTTATATATATTGTTTGTATTGTATGTCTATCTATTCTTACATATATTGTATGTATTGTATGTCTATCAATTCTTATATATTCTGTTTGAACTGTGTGTCTATAAATTATTTTATAAACTGTTTGTATTGTATGTCTATAAATTCTTATATATTCTGTTTGTATTGTGTCTATCAATTAATAATATATTCATTTTGTATTGTGTGTCTATCAATTCTTATATATACTGTTTGTATTGTGTGTCTATCAATTATTATATATTCTGCTTGTATTGTGTGTCTATAAATTCTTATATATTCTGTTTGTATTGTGTGTCTATCAATTCTTACATATACTGTATGTATTGTATGTCTATAAATTATTATTTATACTGTATGAATTGTATGTCTATAAATTCTTATATATATTGTTTGTATTGTATGTCTATAAATTCTTATATATATTGTATGTATTGTATGTCTATCAATTCTTATATATACTGTATGTATTGTATGTCTATATATTATTATTTATACTGTATGTATTGTATGTCTATAAATTATTATAGACATACAATACATACAGTATATATAAGAATTGATAGACATACAATACAAACAGTTTATAAAATAATTTATAGACACACAATTCAAACAGAATATATAATAATTGTATGTCTATAAATTATTATTTATACTGTATGAATTGTATGTCTATAAATTCTTATATATATTGTTTGTATTGTATTTCTATCAATTCTTACATATACTGTATGTATTGTATGTCTATAAATTATTATTTAAACTGTATGAATTGTATGTCTATAAATTATTATATATTCTGTTTGTATTGTATGTATATCAATTCTTATATATTCTGTTTGTATTGTATGTCTATAAATTCTTATATATTCTGTTTGAATTGTGTGTCTATAAATTATTTTATATACCGTTTGTATTGTGTGTCTATAAATTATTTTATATACCGTTTGTATTGTGTGTCTATAAATTATTTTATATACCGTTTGTATTGTGTGTCTATAAATTCTGATATATTCTGTTTGTATTGTATGTCTATCAATTCTTATATATACTGTATGTATTGTATGTCTATATATTATTATTTATACTGTATGAATTGTATGTCTATCAATTCTTACATATAATGTATGTATTGTATGTCTATAAATTATTATATATTCTGTTTGTATTGTATGTCTATCTATTCTTACATATACTGTATGTATTGTATGTCTATCAATTCTTACATATACTGTATGTATTGTATATCTATCAATTTTTACATATATACTGTATGTATTGTATGTCTATCAATTCTTACATATACTGTATGTATTGTATGTCTATCAATTTTTACATATACTGTATGTATTGTATGTCTATCAATTTTTACATATATACTGTATGTATTGTATGTCTATCAATTCTTACATATACTGTATGTATTGTATGTCTATCAATTCTTACATATACTGTATGTATTGTATGTCTATCAATTCTTACATATACTGTATGTATTGTATGTCTATCAATTCTTACATATACTGTATGTATTGTATGTCTATCAATTCTTACATATACTGTATGTATTGTATGTCTATCAATTCTTACATATACTGTATGTATTGTATGTCTATCAATTCTTACATATACTGTATGTATTGTATGTCTATCAATTCTTACATATACTGTATGTATTGTATGTCTATCAATTCTTACATATACTGTATGTATTGTATGTCTATCAATTCTTACATATACTGTATGTATTGTATGTCTATCAATTCTTACATATACTGTATGTATTGTATGTCTATCAATTCTTACATATACTGTATGTATTGTATGTCTATCAATTCTTACATATACTGTATGTATTGTATGTCTATCAATTCTTACATATACTGTATGTATTGTATGTCTATCAATTCTTACATATACTGTATGTATTGTATGTCTATCAATTCTTACATATACTGTATGTATTGTATGTCTATCAATTCTTACATATACTGTATGTATTGTATGTCTATCAATTCTTACATATACTGTATGTATTGTATGTCTATCAATTCTTACATATACTGTATGTAT